TACCTGCTCTACCTGCTCTACCCCCTCTACCTGCTCGGCATCGGTCTCCTCACCCTCCTCTGGTGGTGAGGACTCTGCTATGAATCCCAGGTAAAGGAGAAGGTTCCCTCGAACCTAGTTAAAGAGACTGTTACTTAAGAGTAATTTTATTTGACCCTCAAGGCAATGCCTGATTTACACAATACCCTATCAAAATGTGCCTGTTCATCGAGCACAGAGAGAATTTTCAGAAATTGACTTTGAACTTAAACATAAAAACTTAATGTTTTGGGAGAAAGTGTGGATCTTAAAAATAAAAATATTAAAACGTTAATTTTCCTAAAAAATAACAGTGAACTTGAACAGTGAGAACTTGAGAGCAGTGAAATCATTTTTCTTTTTAATTATAAATAAGTTGCAACAATTGCAAAATTCAAAAATTTGAGCAAAAGGTGGAACAAAGACGCCACTCGTTCTACAATTTCCCAAAGGTTCATATATTTCCATATCTCATCCCAAATGGGATCGGGGTTGAAAGTACATTTAGAGGCATGAAAATACACTTCCTATGCATGGCATTGTGAACTATGGCAAGCTTTTTGTGTTTCGAGGCAACTGNATTTAAGAGCCCGAAACCAAGTATAGGAAACGCGAGCCCGCGATTTAAAAAACTCATGAAAATACCGGTTTAATATTCTAGTTGGCGGATTTCCAAGGTAGGAATTGGCGCATTCCGGGTTTATATGAGAACAAGACTCAACATTAGGCCTTATTTTCCACTAACACCAACAAAGGTCGGTTTCATTTTCGTTAAGCCTTACTCCTAAGTCGAGCCTAAGATCTCGCAGCTGTCAATCACGTGACACAAGCTGTCGTCAGAGTTGAGTCTAAGATTGGGTCTTACAGGTGGGTTTAAGGAATTACGACCCGAACCGAAGCTTTTAAATCTCGGGCTCAGATTTCTTAAATTAAATCTATGCAAATGCATTAACACCAAAAAGGACACTCGGGAGTTTCGTTCAATAAAATTTCCGAATCTGGGGTCTTAACAAACAAGTTTGTTCTGATGGGTTAATCAATTTGGACTTTTGTAATTTTTAGGATAAAAAATGTTTAAAAGTAGTTAAGGATAAAACCCTCCCTGCACTGCCAAGACGATCCAACTCAACTCGTCCCAAGAAATCGTCTCTCGTCAACCTGTTCTCGTCGAAAACCTAAAAAACAAATCTGCTCCCTTTTTCCTTATCCTATTTGAACCCCTGTCCTTGATACCTATGTTCCTTAATCCTTAGTTTGGTCATTTATAGTTCCTGTCAAGTCCTCTTTGTCCTATACCCGCTGTCCTTGTTCCTTACGTTCCAATTCTTTGGCCTATCTGAACTCCTGTCCTTGTTACCTATGTTACTTAATCCTTAATTTCGTAGTTCCTAGTTCCTGTCAAGTCCTTTTGGTCCTGTTCCATTTGTCATTGTCCGTTACGTTCCAATTCTTGGTCCTATCTTAACTCCTGTCATTGTTCCTAATCCATCTGTCCTTGTTCCTGATCCTTCTGTCCTTGTTACCTATGTTCCTTAATCCTTAGTTTCGTAGTTCCAAGTTCCTGCCAAGTCCTCTTGGTCCTGTTCCCTCTGTCATTATTCATAACGTTCCAATTCTTTGTCCTACTTTAACATCCTGCTCTCTAAATCTTGTTTTTGGCCCAACCCTCCCTTTTCTTAGTTTTACAAATCTTAATTCGGTCATTTGCCAAGTACTTTGTCCTTTATACTGTTTCCTTTTTTCAGCATATTGTCCTTAGTGTCCTATTTTAAGTATCTTGTCCACTGTCATGTGTCCTGTTTCCAGTAAAGGGCTCTGCCTGTCCTGTCCTACCCCGTATGACATGAAGTCATTTGTCTTGAAGTCATATGTCATGAAGTCACATGTCCTGAAGTCACATGTCCTGAAGTCACATGTCCTGAAGTCACATGTCCTGAAGTCCCATGTTCTGATGTTCCATGTCCTCATGTTCCATGTCCTCATGTCCCATGTCCCATGTCCTCTTGTCCCATGTCCTAATGTCCAATTTTCCTGTTGTCCCATGTCCTAATGTTCCATGTCCTGATGTCCCACGTCCTGAAGTCCTACCTCTAGTACTATCTTGTGTTCTGCAGGTTTAAGTCTCATAAGGAACTCCTCCTCCCATCTAAACAATATCCTTCATAAATATTCGACGCCTAAAGGGACTGTAAGCCCTCCATGCAAAAGTTGCAATGCANAGATATTAGATACAATTTCTAATAATGATAATTTTTAATATTGGATTCTCTGCAAAACTGACTTATCAGAAAGTAACACTTTTAACTGGAGAAAAAACGATAATATCTTTCCCAATATTGATCAGATAACGGTTTCAAGGGTGCCGTTTGTGAATTGGGTATTGCCATCTTTGCATTAATAGTTACTGTAAATTACACTTTTAGTCCCATCAACATATAAAAAAAACCTTAAATCTTACGACATTTTCCTCTCTAGGATCATTTTTAAATACTTATCGAGGAGCGGGGGGTTTATTAAACGCAACAAAAAAAAGAGAAATAAGGATTCCAATAAAAATTAAACAAAAATGGAAATTCTTAAAACGATTGTAGACAAACTTTTAAGGGACCCTTGAATTAAAGATGGGTCTTGTACGATTCACATCTGTATCCAGAAAAGTTTCTCATTAAATAATATTTTTTTTTCAAATGTGATTTCTCTGTAAAAGTGACTGGCCGAAGTCTTGCTACCGAAACAATTGAGAGAATTTAACAGTTTTACAAGCTTGAATCAATACGATACCTTCCACATTATTGATCAGATAAAGGATCTTTTAATGGTACCGTTGTGAATTGAGGGTTACAATTTACAAATAGTATTTACATAATTTACATACCTCGGGTTTAGAGTTCTTTTCTTAGTTTTAGTGAGTACAGAGTCCACTACCTCGTCACCTTGACTAGTTACCTAGATAGATAGATAGATAGATAGTTAAATAGATAGACAGCTAGATAGATAGACAGCAAGATAGATAGACAGCTAGATAGATAGACAGCTAGATAAATAGATAGATAGAAAGAAATAAACAAAGATTGATTGTAATGTATAATCTGTATGTTCAAATACGAACTATATTTAAAATTAAAATGAATTATATTGTTCAGCAATATTACTACAACAACAATAAACAAATAATAAAGTATCTTCAAGAAAAGTATTATATTACGCAAAAAAAACTCTCAGCTCTGATCTTGAATGGAAATTCACAAAGAAACTTTTTTTTTAAAAAGAAGAAAAACATATTTAAATACAATAGAATATATTAAACTCTTATATACTGCGTAAATAGATCTAGCAGTGCATTGATAGATAAACATATAGATAGTTAGTTAGATAGATATAGATAAATATATAGATAGTTAGTTAAATAGATATAAAGATGTATAAATAAATAGATACAAAGACAATGGATAGATAGATAAATAAAAAATTAATAGCTTAAAAGAATAGATAGATATATAGATAAATAGAAAGATAAATAGAAAGATAGATAGAAAGATAGAAAGAAAGNTAGATTAAAAGATAATTAACATGACAGATATCGATAAATAACATGTTAGATATATGGATATGATAGATACATATACTTTGGCAGACATTTATAAATTAATAAAAAAATAGAATAAATGATTGATACATTACAAAGACAGTAAATGATATTTTAAATCCTATTTATTGTCAAATGCAAAATTAAAATACAGAATTATGTTCAAGTATTTGTAAACTATATTTTTAGCATCTCCATATATATTCATCATTTATATTTGTCTAAAGCAAAATTACATTAAACAATATAAAAGTTTACAAACTAATACTCTTTTCTCTGGATATCGCATTTTATAATTGACAGGGTTTGCCATAAAACAGGTGCAATACAAGACTTTTAGCATGAGTATAGTTTAGCTATTCAGAGGTGGATTTTTAGAAAAGAATATAAGTTTTTTATTTTTTTCAAACTTTTTAAAATACATCATTTTTGGATTTTTCTCTCTCCAAAAAAAAATTTTATTTTAAAAATGTTTTCCCCGTTTATACTTTCCATGCATTTTTTTATATTGGACCAAAAAAAATTTTACTTTGCAAAAAAAGGAAGAAAAAAAATTTAGATAATTTTTTTCCCATTCTTGATTAGGTTTTAAAAAATTTATAAATTTCCTCGTATAAATAAAAACCAGAAGCCTAATATTTATACAACATACAGGGTGAGTCAAAAAAAAGTGTGTTTTACGGCGCTTGGTGCCAACTTGTACCTGAATGGTGTTTTTTCAATATTTTTTGAAAATTTGTAATTTTTTGTTTGTGCTTCAATGGCCCAAAAAAAATCCGCGAACCTTTTTTCTCTCAAAATCAAAAGTTCAGAAAACAAAAATATATAAATAAGTTGTTTCTATCGAAATCTAAAATTGTAAAAGATTGAATCACAGAAAATTTGCAATTTTCAGTTCTGTTCTGGTATAATTTTTTACGGAAAAATTGTTTTTCAATGGTTCTTAAGGTTTCAACAGAACACTTTAGAATATACTAAGAAGAAAGGAACTTAAGAATTTAAATAACTTTTCCTTAAAACTTATTACAATTTTGCGAATTTTCTGTGATTCTTTGATTCAATCTTTAAAAAATTTTAGATTTCGATAGAAACAATTTATATACACATTTTTGCTTTTCTAAAATTTTTATTTTGAGAGAAAAAAAGGTTCGCGGATTTTCTTTTGGACCATTGGAGTACCAAAAAAATTAAAAATTTTCAAAAACTATTGAAAAAAAACGCCATACAGGAGAGTTGCACAAAAAAAGATACAATTTTGCACCAGGCGCCGCAAATCACACTTTTTTTACTCACCCTGTACATTTTGTAAAAAAAAAATTCCACAGAAATTATCACAAAAAGTAGAAGATAAGAAAACATAAAACATTAAGAGATTCTTAGCTTCCAACACCTAGATATATCAATCAATCAATCAATCAATCAATCAATCTTTATATCGCTAACTAACTCAATCAATAAAAAATATTTCAATTTATCATTCAACAAATAAAATAATAACTCAATTGATCAACAATAAAACAAAAACACTCAATCAAAAAGTAATAAATCAATCCTAGGGTTTAAATAGAATAAAATATCTTATTCTTATCAACTTATTAGTAAAAAAAACTTACAATAAATCAAAAAAATGCATCATACTGAACAATAATATTCGATGAGATATGATATCAAGCTACTTTTCGCAAAACTCTCCAAAATAATGCTACAAACAGTTCAAATAAACTTTTAAAAAACAACAAAAATTCAGTATCTAACTTATTGTTTTCAGGGTAAAACCAGAAATTGAGGTTTTGTGGATTTGAAAATGGATCCAATTTCTTCGCTTAGGAATTCTTAGTTCAGATTTTATGAACATCTTGAAAAAGCTTAACTAGGTTCTGCTAATTGAACTTTATACTTCTATACAATAAGTGCTGAGGATCCATTTAATTTTGATCCGGATTCGCCCAGAAAAAAACTGGATCCGGATCTAAAACCGGATTTTAACTACTTCTAGCTTATATCCATCTTTTTATTTACAATTCTTATTCGCTTATGATGGGCCAACCAATCAAAACAACCAACTCTGGTTAGGCGGGTCCAAACTACATAGTAAATTGTGATTTTTTATTTGTATTGTCTTGTGCTTTGTAGTTGAATAAAAAATATGAATATGAATGAATATTAGTCCCGAGGCCGAATTTAAAGAATTTGAAACGAGGCTCAAACATGGTTAGTTCGACTTGAATTTGTATTCAGTGTTTCCAGATTTGAGCCGTAGCTCAATTAGAACCCGATTTTGGCGGTTCAGCGAGCGAATTAAATTTTTTAGGATAATTGGATCAAATTGAAATGGATCCTAAGCACTATTAAAAATATTTACCCTCAACCGAACAACTTTGGTTAGCTCGGATGAACCCTGGGGAGGAACATATCCCACAATCTTAGTAGAAGACATCACAATATGTCCTCATGTTCCATG